CCCCCGTTAGTCACCAACCAAGAATAGCCCCCAGACCAACATTCCTAATGGCCTCCAGCCACTCTCAGGCCGGGCCAGCCCTCAACATCCCCCCCAGAAGCCCAAGACCCTCCTCCTCCTCCTCCCCCCAGAATGCAGATTGTGAATAATTTCAGATTTCCCCAAGGAGCCCCTCCCTCCCCCTCCCCACGACTTTCGACCCCAAGAGATGGTCAGATACTCCTTGCACGGGGAGGGAGAAGCACAGAGACCATGTTGTGCTGGGGGGCTCCAAGGTTCGCACCTCTCCCCCGCCCACAGGACAGCCAGTCACCGAAGCAGGTCCCCTGACACCCACAAACCCCCATTTCCGCCCCCCCACCTGTCCTGAGCCCCGGGCTTCATCCTGCCACCTGTGCGCATCACGCAAGACACCTTTGGCCGAGGAGGAGGGGGACCTGTGCACGGTTTTACTTTATGCGTGAACACAGAGGTTACAAAAGAACGGACACACCCTTCAGTCCAGAAGTTTTTCGAGATTCCCCCTCTACCCAGCCAGCCCGCCCGCCCGGCTTTCTGTGGGCCCGGAGGGCCTGGCCGGCAGCTGGTCTTTCCTGCCAGGGGTGAAGATGTATCCTGAGCAAGGGGGGAGATGGGGGTCCTCCCGCCCATTGGAAGCCCCGGCCTGCTGACGTTGAAACAGCAGATGGCGTCCTTCCGGCTGGTCAAGGGGGGAGGCTGGGGCAGGTGCAGCTGGGGTCTTCTCTGGGGTCTCCGGGCCAAAAATGGACAAGCCAGGAAGGGGCAGAGCCAGCAGCCCTGCTCAGGAAGAGCCCCTCCAGGCCCGGCTGGGGATGGGCAGGGATGTCCTTGCCTTTCTGGGGCACCGGGTGAGGCCGGGCAGGGCTCCTAACCACCCACGCCATTCGCAGCCAGGGCACAGGGCAGTCCCAACCCAGCAATCCCACGCTTGGTTAGCCGTGGACGTCAGCCGGCTGGGCTGGGGGGAGGCCCGGTGGTAGGGCCCGCCCCCCACGGCAAGCCCTCCCCGGAGGGGAAAAGAGGACGTTCCGGTGCTCAAGAACGGAGGGTCAGCGTGGCTCCAGGTAGGCCCGGTCAGCGGAAGATCGCCACCCAGGCCAGGGTCCAGAGCAGAATGGCAGCCGGGAGGGTCAGCACGGCCCGGCCCCCAGAGCTCCGGCCCCCTCCCGCAGCCTGCTGGACCCCGCTGGGGGGCAGCACAGGGGGCCGGTGGCACTTGCCCTTCGGCTTGGGCAGCAGGCCCAGGTTGGGCTTGTGCTTCAGGTCCTGCCCCTCCTCGGCGCTCTTCCAGGGGCCCAGGGAGGCCGGCCCGCTGCTCCGGTTGCGGCTCTTGGTGCAGTTCTTGAGGCTCTTCCGGGGCCCGGGGCGCTGCCCAGACTGGATGCCGTGGCCCCCTTCTGTGGGAGAGAGGGGCGGGTGGTCCCTGGGGGGCAGCCGGGGCCCGTGGGTCTGGTGCAGGGACTCCGAGGCCGAGCAGCCCCGGAAGGTGTCGGCTGGCAGCGCCTTCAGGTCCCGTCCGTGGAGGGGCTGGGGGCCCTCGCAGAGGACGGAGGAGCTGGAGCCCCGGAAGCGGCGCAGCCAGTCCCAGAGCGAGCGGGCCTGGCAGCCGCAGCTCCAGGGGTTCCCGTTGAGGCGCAGGTACTCCAGGGCGGCCAGGGGCGCCAGGGCCTCGCCCGGCAGCTCCGAGAGGCTGTTGTTGAAGAGGAAGAGCAGGGTCAGCTGGCGCAGGTCGTGGAAGGCCAGCCGGTGGACGCTCTGCAGCCGGTTCTGGTGCAGCAGCAGCCGGTCCAGGCCGACCAGGCCCCGGAAGGAGGCCGGCTGGAGGCTCCGGAGCCGGTTGCCGTGCAGGAAGAGGTGGCTCAGGTTGGCCAGGTCCACAAAGAGGTCCTCCTGCAGGTAGTCCAGCTGGTTGTCCTGCAGGTAGAGGTACTGCAGGCTGTGCAGGCCCCGGAAGAGCCCATCGGGCAGGGCGCTGAGGCCGCACTTGTACAGGTGCAGTGCGTGGAGGTGGGCCAGCCCCTGGAAGGTCTCGGCCGCAAGCTCTCGCAGGTGCCGGTTGTCGCCCAGGTCCAGCTCCTCCAGGCGGGAGAAGCCGCGGAAGGCCAGGGGGTCGACGAAGGTGAGGTTGTTGGAGTAGACCCAGAGGGTGACGGTGGAGGGGCTGAAGTGGCCCCGCAGCAGCAGCGAGATCTGGTTGTTCTGCAGGAAGATGCGCTCGCTGTCCGCCGGGATCCCCTCCGGGATGGTCAGGAAGCGGTGCGACTGGCAGCTGACCGTCATGGGCGATGGGTAGCAGACGCAGTCGGTGGGGCAGCCCTCCGAGGCTGGGATGGCCAAGCCCAGCAGGACCAGGCACAGCTCCAGGCTTCGCCCTGCAAGGAGGAGAAAAGGGGCAGAGGGTGAGCGGAGCCCAGGGACCCCCCTGCCCCCCACAGGCCCTGCTGGCCCCCTCCCTGTCCTGAAAGGGGAGGGCCGGGCTGCCCCTCGTGCAGGCCCACCGGCCTCCCCTGTGCCCTAAAGCCAGCCAGAGCACCTCCCAGTCCCAAGGTGGATCAAGGCCGGATCCTGGTAGCCCTCGCGGAAGATGTGCACTTGTGTATATGTGTGTGTGTGTGTTTCTCCCTGGCCACCAGGAAGGAGTCTGTACTAGCCCCCCCCTGCTCTCTTCTGGCCTCCGGGGCATTCGTTCCTCCCTGAGACCAGCAGCGAGGTCATCACTGCCCCATTAGCCAGCTGTGGTGCCCCCCCTGTGAGAAACAGAGAAGTTTAAAAATAAAACGGTCACAATTGATTAACAATAGAAGGATTAGCCAAGCCCTGTACGTAGGCACTAGATTTCAGGAGGCTTGGGTAGAAGACACACTTAACAAGACAAAAGGATGGCAGAGAGAAGTTCTGAACAATGTAACTGAGGGGGAGGGATAATGTATTCTGGCTAGGCGGATCG